TTATTTTTTAACAGAAAAATCTAAGATCCTAGCTTAGAAGTCATGTACCCCTTCCCCCTCACTATTTCTGTTGCCCTCCACTGGACTCTCTCCAATTTTTCCACATCCTTTCTGTAGTGGGAGGCCCAAAACTGAGCACAGTATTCCAGATGTGGCCCCTCACTGGTGCCAAATAGAGGGGAAGAATTGCTTCTCTTGGCCTACTAGCAACGCTCCTACTAAGGCAGCCCAGTATGCTGTTAGCCTTCTTCACAACAAGGGCACACTGTTGACTCATATCCAGCTTATCCAGCTTATATCCATTGTAACCCCCAGGTCTTTTTCCGCAGAGCTGCTGCTTAACCAGCGGGTCCCAAGCCTGTACCAGTGCGTGGGATTGTTCCATCCTAAGTGCAGGACTTTGCACTTGTCTTTATTAAACCTCATGAGGTTTGTTTTGGTTCGGTTCTCCAATGTGTCGAGGTGACTCTGAATCCTAGCTCTGTCCATCAGCTCAGTAATATCGAAAGGTAATTCAGTAGAACCGGGAACATTTGTACCCGGTAGTTTGCCATCCATGCAATCACTGAATACAGGGAGCTGTCAAATATAGGATGCGCCATTCAGCTGTTTGCTCTGGTGTTTAGTTCAAAGGGTGATGCTTCTCCAATCAGCTGGAGCTCATTACCTTTCTGCGTAGCTGATCAGATAAATGGCACCTTTTGAAACCAAAGCCCCACCCAAAAGCTTGAGCACTGTAGTGGTCTTGCGTAGCTGTTTGCTGCAGCTCTAGATCCTCAGCTAACTCAAAAGCCTTCCTTTTTGCAGGGTGGTGAGGAGTGTAACCCTGCAAAGTACCCGAGTTCTACTGGAGTAATAACAGAACTTAGCATTTCTAGCATGTGATAGACTAGTGCATAGTGCTTTCTTTTGATTCGGCAACATTACAATTTGAGGCCCAAATCTTGAAAATCTGATCCTTATAGGTGGTCTGATCAAGGGGGCTCTGGGCTGGAGGGAACCATTCGTTGTGTGATCAAATATGAAGTGAAGATTGGCTTCAGAATGCAAAGAAACCTCATTCCTAGACAACAATAATCTTCTTGGATTGCATAATTGGGGAGAAGAGAGAGAAAAACTTAATTTTGCAGGTTTAATTGACATGATAGACATTTACCTTGCAGACAGCAGATGAGCCTTGCCGAATTGCAAGTTACCTTGCCAAGCAAATGACAGGAGGTTTGTAGAAGGCAATTATTAAAATTCATCTCCATCACTCTACTGCTTTCTTAGGCTCACAGTAAGGACACAGCATTGGCAGAGAGCTTGAGGCAAGGAACTATTATGTTTCCATTGTAAGGCCTTAGTGCAGATTAAACTGAGTTTTGAGTGTTTGTCAAAACAAAATCCTGCTCGCTGCATTTGTATTTTGGTATTTGCTTTACAACTTTTGCCTTATATTTAAATGAAATAATTTTAACGTTATTACTTTCTCCTCGCTATGAAGACTGAAAATGGCTTTGTTATATAACGGAAAATGTAATGGCTGTCCAGACATTGCAAATTGCACCCTGAGGAAAGTAATGAATTATACATACATAAATAACTGCATCAATAAAAGGATTTCTGCAGTTTCTTTTTGAGTTTTGGATACCTGCCCATTTATAACCTTTCATTCCATTTACAGTTTAGATCAGCAATTAAAGTTACTGAAAGTTGCAAGAGATGCTTTTAACATAAAAATTTTAATTGTACCACTCTGCATCCAGACCTTGTCCCCAGTCACTTCCTCCCAAGCGTACCAGTTTAATTAGCTGTCCCTTAGGATTGCTAAGTATTAACAGTTTATAGTTCCTTCTGCGAAACATCAGGAATATAAAATCTAAGCAGTAAGGCCCCTTCTACTGCAATTAAAATTGCTTGCTTGACTGAGAGAGCCACCATACCAAAGCAGTAGCTAATCTGTCCAGAAAAATGGCAGTAGGCAAGAAGCTACCAATGTTACTTTCTGAGAAAAAGAAAAGACAAACATACAGGTTTCCCATGCCAACTGTGGGAGTTAGGTGCTGGAAAGTTCCCGTGGTTGGCAAAACCGTGGTTGGTAAAACTAAAGGCTTATGGGAAAAATGGGGTTAGGGACTTGAATACTGTACAGTATAGTGTATAAAAATCATTTTTACCTACCTTTAATACACGGAGCGGTCAGCCGGGTGTAGGTGTACCCCTAGGGGGACTTGTACAGGTTATAGGGGTAGGTGCCAGCGGGCAGGGATGGAGTGGGCCCAGGGCACAACGGCAGCATCTCCCCCACCGCGTTTGCCACTTACCTGGGAGAGGGAGAGAGGGGAGGGAAAGAAAGGAGAGAGGAGGGGAGGGGTGCGCCGGCCGGCCCCGCGCAGCATACCACGTCACCGGGGCAATGTGGGGCAAGCAGCAGTGGGCAGGAGATCCCTGCTCCCTGCTGCACCGGGTCATGGGGGAGGGAAGCAGGGCAGCAAGGAACAGCGGTGAGCGGGCCTGCCGATGCAGGTAGGGCAGCTCCCCGCCACCATGTGCGCCACCATGCGCTACTCCAGCAAGGCTGGGAGCCACCCCTGGCTGAGGGAGCAGGGGCTGTGGTTGGTGGGGAGGGGGAGGCACGAGTAAGGCCAGGGAGTTGGTGGGCTGATGCACCATCAAAAAAAGCCATGGTTACTCAAAACTGTATACCATGGTAGCCAAAATGGTATACAGAATATTAATCGTGGATACTCAGAACCATGGTTGGCGAAACTGTGGTTGGCTAGGGAAACCTGTACTTGCAGTTGCATGACTTTTCAGATAATTTAAAGCGGCACCTCACACAATGTGTGAGAATGGCGGTGTTGTCTTGAATTCTGCGTGCCTTTCCTCAATTGTAACCTTAATTCCTCTTGATATTCATTCCATCTGTCAGCTTTACTGAGCAATGAAAAAAGTAATACAATTAACTTCCAAGAAGTTACTTTATTTTACCAGACATTAAAAAGGCTGTTAATTTAAAGGGAGGAAGAAAGGGGCGGGGGTGGGAGGGAAGGGAAAGGTAAATGCCCTAGTTCTGTGGAAGGCTTCAAACAACTAGGTTGCTTAAAATACAAGTTGAAATCCTAGACAGGCTGACATAGCTGCCTTCTGAGGAAAATGAACTTAATTCACTGGATGCAGCATTGGTGTAACAAGCAGTTTCTGTGCCCTAGGCAGGAGCAGCAGCGACTACCATTCTTATACCCCTTCAAAGTTGGCACCCAGGGTGGGTGCCCTGGCTGCCAACTCCTAGTCACACTGCTGGTAGTAGCTCTTTTGGATGCATCCTTAAAAGGGGAGGCCCTACTCCTGAAAATGCGAATACACACACTCTTTGTGTCCTAGACTTCCTGTGAGCTAGTGGGTTTTACTTGTGTGCATGGTGATGGAGAAAGTGGATCCCTGGGAGAGTGTCTGAAATATCCTGCTTTCCCCACCATTGTCTATGGCTTGAGCAGTGGGTGGGTTTTACATATTGTCCCACTGTTGGCTGCATGTCTCTTGTGCTGTAATAAACTACATAAAGTCTGTTAAAAATGGAGTCTGTAGGATGTCAGATGTCAAGTCGCACCTCAGAGCAAGTCATTTTGAGCCAAAGCAGCAGCTGTATCCTTCTCTGTCAGTAGCAAATCCTGAATCTGAACCTGTCTTTCCTACAAGTATCCAGGCAAAGCTTCATATCTTGGCAGGCAGTTGTGTAGAGTGATGATTTATAGAAGTAGGAGACTGGAATTGCAGCGGCCGTCACTAAAAAGTCAGCACTTCTCCATCACCGCCACCCATGATGTTCGGGGGTGCTTACGTAGTGTGGAATGCACTTTTTGAGGAAGTCTGTGAATATATTTTAACTAATGTGTTATACATCTCTTTGTCCTTTTTGTGAGCAGGAATACTACTGTTTAATAACAGATGCGGTTGACCTTATTGCATAGATTTTATACGGTTAATAACAGTTGGGGGATATGGAAACCCCTCTAACTTAATGGACAAAATGACTGCTGGAGGGGGCCTTTCTTCTAGTGGTTTCAACCTTTTTAGACTCAAGGCATCCTCATTGGAGTCAAGGCACCCTCTATAACTTTTGTGAATCGAGCAACACCACATTTCAAAAATTAACTTATTTATTATGGTGGTTGTCTCCTGGCAGAGGGACTGGACAGTGGGGGCAGGGGAATGACCAGTCAGGGCCTGCTTACCTCCTCAGACATCAGAGGAGATAAGCACATCTAGTGGTGCCCTGGGTGTCTTGGCACCCTGGTTGAGAATCACTGTTCTAGAGTTTCCTGGGAGGTAAAGAGAAGCCGGGGGTAGTGAAGTGATTTGCTTGAAGTCACTTTGTCGATTTGTGGCCGACCTGGGAACAGAACCTAGGCATCCTCCCCATCCAGTGCTTTAACCTTGGACTGTTCTGCAAGTGGTGTATTATTTGTCTGAGCTCAGTTCAAAACTTGCCTTTTCCATCTTCTCTCAATAGCTCAAGAGGGCCTATTTGGGCCTCTGTGCTGTGATTTGGAAATGTATTGAACCTGCCTTTAAAGTGCATGCAGCATGATGTTGGAGTTAAAGTTGCAGCATAGAGTGACTTTCTGACCAGACCTTGGATGCCGTTAATTAGATTTCTAGCCTGTTGCAGAAGGAGTGTCATTAATGAAACTCAATGTTTCCTACTAATTGCAGTCCCGTTCTATCATAATTGCTTTGCTAAGTGACCTAAATGAAAGCAATGTGTTTGATGACTTGTGATTCCTGTCATTATTTTACTGCCAACCAAGCCAATACCGTTCTATGTTCTCATCACTACTGAGAGTTTAATGCTGCCTAATTTAATATGACCAGAAGTAGACTATTGGAAAGTATTAATATATTACCACTAATACATATATAATAATAAGATGCTTGATCGTTGCTCAAACATTAATCTTGGCTTAGATGCAGTGACTGTTAAGCCTGCTGTATTTTTTCACCGTTGTTTTTTGCAGGGGCTACGATGATCCTATTGAGACAGAGATGGTTGACGAGAGAATCCCCTACCTTCACGGTGGCTATGCAGCACCATTAGCACAGCCAGAGAGAGGGAGCATGGCTAGCATTGATCGCCTGGGCAAACGCTCCCCCTCCATTGACAGCATCCGCAAAGACCCCAGGTGGCGAGATCCTGACCTCCCTGAAGTGATTGCAATGCTCAGTCACCCCATCGATCCAGTCAAATCCAATGCAGCAGCGTACCTGCAGCACTTGTGCTACGAGAATGATAAAATCAAGAAGGATGTGAGGCATCTCAAAGGGATCCCTATTTTGGTAGGCCTGCTAGATCACCCAAAGCCAGAAGTCCATCGCAAAGCTTGTGGGGCACTGAGAAACATCTCCTATGGGAAAGATAATGAGAACAAGGTGGCTATAAAGAACTGTGACGGGATCCCGGCCTTGATCAGATTATTGCGAAAAACAAATGACATGGAAGTCAGAGAGCTCATTACAGGTCAGTGTCTCTTATTTGTCCCGTCCATGTGATTCTTTTTCAGGCCTAGCTTATATCAGTATCAGGAGGAGGAGATTTGAAGGCTTCAAGTTTGGATTTAAGTTACAAACCACCGACTGCAGGCATTGTTTCAAACCCTGTACCCCAGGCTCACCGGAGTCTAAGTTTATGGATGGTTTGGATGCTCATGCTGTTCAGAAGAAACCAAGATGTTACATACATTTAGCACTTATGGGTCTCCTGGATGTTCATAGAGACTAAACTAAGCTACTCACTGAACACATCTAGTGCAGGTGGGGAGGAAGGGAAGTGTTGGCTCTGGATTTAGGACCCAGAGACCTTGTTTTTGAAGGGGGGTCACCCTCACACTGACCACAACCTTTCCATTTGATAATAGGCAAATTTATTGATACACAGTGATAACAGAAAAGAAGCAATACAAACAATCAAGCAATTTTATATATCTGCCAAATCAAGCAATTCTATATATCTCCCTCCCCGTCCCTGTTCCCAGGACCCTTCCTGGGGAACAGGGATGGGGAGGGAGGGACGAGACAACGGGACCTGGGCAGGACGGAGAGGGCCCCTTTGTTGTTCTTAAGTCTCTCCTTTTGTATTCTCCTTCTCTCCTGATGACTCTTCATCTGTGGCTATCTCTGGTTGGTTGTCTCTCTGTGGTCACACGCCCATGTAGCCCTTTGGGCCTTCTCCTAATTTGGTCTGTTCCCCCAAAACTGGGACTCAGGCCCCCCTGCTCCGAGGCCTTGTTAGCTGGTGCCACTTTTATCTCGTGTTATGGGCAGTATGGTACATACCCCCTTGGTTCCCAGGCTGTATGTCCTTGTTGTGTTGGATAACCTGTCTGCCTTGAAGGCTGTGAGCTCGTGTTATGGCATGCCCCGCTCAGTTCTTAGGCTGTGTCCATCCGTTGGCCTTGTTGTGTTAAACAGCTGGTCTGCTTCCAGGGCTATGAGAAACTCTGTGTGTGTGAGACCCAGGCTTCTTAGAAATCAAGCTACCCCTACTTCCCTTCTTAAACCCTTCTAATGAATATATCTATACATATAAGCCAATTCCCAAAAAGCAAACCTTTAAATGCCATTTCTAAGCCAACAGGAAGGAGAAAAAAAAAGCTGAGGTTGTGCAACTATGAATGCAGTGTTAACACTACTGCTAAAAGCTAGAGGATAGTTCAGGTTTATGGGTACAGGGACTAGTGTTGGGGCAGTCTGGGTAGAAGGATGTTTATTATAGTGTCAGGAAAAAGAGGCATTACCGTAAAAGCAAATTCAGTTTTGTGCATACCTTGCAGTGATTTTTCACTTGTAACTCATTGTTCAGTTTGTTTGAGCTAAGCCTTGACTGGACTTCAAAATTAGTATGAAAGCACATGGCTAAGTTTCAAAGTTCACCTGTTGAGTTACGTATGTGGAGGAGAATAGAAATGTGTGGTGACTTTTTTTTTCATGGAGGAGAAATGGGTTGTTTTTCGGCCTCCCACCTCTCAAAAGCAGCAGCATAGATTACCCTTCTCACTTGAGAGGAAGGTGAAGGGGCATTTGGTTGGAGGCCAAATGTAGAGTATTTCATTCCAATAGTGCAATTTTTCAGATGTTTCTGAACAAGTGAAAGTGGACCCATGACTGAAACTGTTGTGCCACATTATCAGTCCTGGAAGCTGGCAAGCAAACTCTATCATACATTTGGATTAATCTATTGGAAGTAAATACTGTAATGCTATAATCGCCTGAAAACTCCTGGTGACATGACAGCTCTCTGGGTTCCTCATCCTCTGAAATGAATACTGGCATTTGGAGGCTTGCCCTTCTCTCAACTGTTGATATTTATTCACCAAACTAGACCTAAATATGCAACCCAGAAACTAGCTTTATTTTCTCAGGCCTTTTCCACAGAGCTGAGAAAGGAGAGCTTTCTGCTTTGTCAGAGATCCTTTAATTATCATGCATTGGTTTTGCTTCGCTTATTGTCTGCACTTTGTCTTTTGACATCAGAACTCTTTAGGCAGTATTTGTATTCAGTTTATTACATAATATAATTCAACCCGATGGTTGACGCTTACTTTTTCTTCAGTTTTTTTTCCCCAAGTGAAATGCATTTGTTTATCTGCCGTTTTAGTTTATTCAAAACTCATTTCCAGAGTGCTGCCAAGCAATACTTTTATTTCTTTAAATTCAGAAAAAGAGAAGCTAGCCTATAATTTTCTCTGAAGGAATATTATTATAACGTTAAGTGGTAATCACTCATCTCCAAGATGGCAAAAACAAACTAGCGCTTTCTCCTTTTCATTGTGAATGGCGTTTGCTTTGAATCCCTCCTGATGAATTAATTTTACAGTTTAAGTATGTTCCATTTGATTCTACCTGGGCGTCAAAATTATTAATTTTGCTCTGCTTCCCTTTGTAAGCATTTCCTACTTGCTATTTTAAGATCCTCGTTCTTTGGAGAATCCCCCAAGAATGTTGAAGGCATTAACCTAAACAGATGTTCAGCAACAGATGATGCTCTTTTAATCTCCACCTAACCAGGGGTATAGAGGGCTATAGAAGAGACCAGTATTCCAACAATGTTTCTGAGACGGAGGCTGGGAGAATTGCAGCTGGTGTCCAAAGGCTCAGCTGAGAAAATGAACTGCCCATTGAAACTAGATTCCAAAGGACAAGTGCTGTTAGAAACAAGAGTCGAATCCATACAACAATGAGAGGACCGTTCAGCTAGCACTGTTGCAAGTATTGAACACAATGGTTACAGGTCTTGTGCTATTCTTATGATAGGAGGTTGGCTTCCTATCAGGGTCTGACAGTACATCAAAGCATTCCACGAATCCTTTTTATTCTGTCTGGAATGAAACGTTTAGGGACTTTTGTAGCCGTAGAAATTATGATGTAGGTTCAGATGAAAGTTAAGAAAAATACATTTTTTGTAAGCGTTACATATTCTCCAGACCAGGGGTCGGTAATGCTTTTGGGCAGAGTGCCAAAAACACCTACAACCTCAATTTGTAAGATGTTAGCATGCCGTGGGCGGGCAGTGGGGGAGCCACTAGGGGCCTGATCCTTGTTGTGGCAGTGCAGCCCCAGCCCTTTCCCTGCCGTCTGCCCTGAAGCGTGCGTGCTAAGCAAAATGCCTTTGCATGCCACACTCTGGCACCTATACTGTGAGTTGCCTACCCCTGCTCTAGACTGGTTTTCTTGCAGTACACTGATGATTGCTGTTCACAAGATGCAATGATAGCCACCCATCAGCTGGTCAGTCAGTATACAGGTTTCCCTTGCTTTATGCTGTACATGCATTCCTGGAAAATGGAGCAAAACTCAAATTTGCATAAAGAGAACCCACTTTACAATGTAACAAATAGGGATGCGTTCCACAACCTCGACTGTACTGACCCCCAGACCCATTTCTACCACATTTACAAGACAGTTTTGGTACTCACTAACAGCAGACAGTACACACAAGCACAGGGTGGTGGTGAATGTTAGCATAATAGGGATGGCAACTACAGAAACATGTGTCACAGACGAGTAAGGAGCACAGATCCACACAGGAGACTATAGTTTGGTGTGCATCACTCCCACAATGCACTGCACAAAGTAGCTGACTGCAGGCTTCCACCACACCAATTGCATAAGAAATTAATTTCCTCCCATATAACAAATTTTTGGTATAAAAAGCGTCATCATCATATAAGAGCAAATTCTCACATACAGAACCCACATAAAGTGAGGGAAACCTGTATTATAAAATAGTGCTCAGATTTCAAAGGGGCATGAGTTATGCTTCCAAATTCAATAGCAGTTTTGGCACCCAAATCCCTTAAATTTCTTTTTTTAAAAGTCCAGCTAGAATGGTACATCAGTATACTTTGCAGGATAACAGCTCTCAGGAAATACCGGGTAAACGCAAGTGACATTTAGAAGTCTACAAGCAGTCTGGTTATTTTGATTGCAAAGCCGCCTAGGTGACTAGTACTATCCTCAACCATCATCTTGTCAGATTAAATTGCAGCTCTTTTACCAGAAGTTCTCGGTATAGCTAAAAGTGGCAGTATAGCAGGATGCCCTTCAGGATCTGTTAGGCATTTAAACCAGTGCCTGCAGAACCGCAAAGACAGATTTGTGCTATGTCATGTATCCCATTTCCCCCTCCCTCTACCACCTACATCCCCAAAGTTGAGCTAATGGAAAACATGTACAGACTGCATTGCACAAACTTCAGCTTCTTAGGGCTTTCATGGGCTCATGAGTGGAGCTGCCATGAACAATTCTGGTCTGTGGAGCTCTTCCTTGAATCTGTCTGGACTCGTCCTCTTGGGACTATGTAGAACTCCAGATTCAATGGATCCTTTCCCAACTTCAAAAATGGAGCAGAATGAGAACTGACCTGATAAGGAAAGAAATCTTTTCCAATTGGAACAGCAGCAGAGGTTTTTATCTTAAACGATAAGGTTTGGTGTGGAACAAATGTTCCCATCAGATATGCAAGACACAAAGTCTATTACATTCTTTTGACAAGCAATCAGAAGTTAGAGGCTTTAATGAATTTTTCATTCTTTGTGTGCTCATTGAAATGTAATTTTGTTGTTTAATGACACCCGCACAATATTTTAAGTGGTGCAGAACATGATTCTTCTGATGCTCTGTATTGGCAAATTGGTTTTAATTGAAAAATGATTGACCTTTAAAAATGTTCTAAAGAGAAAATCTTTTGATCTTAGATTTTTTTACAGTGCAAACTTGCAGTGTGAAGCAGCCAGTCCAAATCCATTTCTTTTGAGAATTAATATATGGTCACGAGTCTGGCAGCACATCGGAATTTATTTTAATGTGCACTGCCTCCTCGTGGAAGTCCACTAATATGATCAATGTATTGTCTAATTACAGAGGCACTTACTCCTTCCATTTTCCAGTGGGAAGCCTGTCAAAAGAATATATATCACCTTTCATGATACACTGTGTAACCCAGTAATTCATCTTGAGGTC